ATAAAAATATTTTCAATTTTTAAATTACTAAAAATTGAAAATTTTGCTTTTCAATCCATTCGTCAAACTTAATTACAGTATTTTTCACATCAATTCCATAATAATAACAAAAAGCAGTCTTCTAAATTCCATTTAAATTACCTGTCTTGGCTGATTTCAGATAATTTTTAAATGCTTTTTGCTTATTAACTTCAACTTCAATTCCTAAATTATAACAATAACCAACTTGATACAGTCTGTCTGGATTATTAAGGTTGGCAGATTTTTGATAATTAATGAATGTTTCATTTTCATTATTTACAACCCCTATTCCAAATTCGTAACAGTAACCAAGCCAATAATTCCCATTTGCTTCATTTTTATTTGCAAATTTTTTACAATTATCAAAATTTAGTTGATTAAAAGTGTTGTTAATTTCTTGTTCCATTTAAATTTGCAAAAAAAAATATGTTAAAAAACTAGATTTAGTAGCGTCCAAATTAGCATTAGTAATTTTATGACAACCATACAGCTAAACCTGACTTAAATTGTTTAATTCAAATTTTCTTTATTATAGAACAAAAATAACTATTGTTCTTGCGATATCGCCATGCTATTTGAGATAATCTTAACCTCACTGAATTTTTTAAATTAACTCTAATAAAAGTAATAAATAGTTATTAATAGGCAGATAACATATATTCATCAGACAGAATGCAAATAAATGTTCAATATTTTTAGATCTAAACTTATTTTATAGAAATTTACTAATCAGCTTATACAACTTTTTTTTTAAATCAATCATTTAACTCAATTAAAAGTCAAACTCACAATCGAATAATAAATTAAACTAAACTATTGAGCAGTTAATGACCAATGCCAGCATATAAAATTAAATTTAAAATGGTACATAAAACCTAACTAATGCAAATCACCTTTCATCAGTTTCATTATCTTTCATCAGTTTTGTCACCTTTTGTTAGTTTCATAGTTTCGTTTCCTTTTGTCTGTTTCGTTATTTCAATTTTTTTTTAACAAAAGATGAAACTAGGTTTTAACTTTCATCAATAATGAAACTCTTAGGTTTTGTCTAACGACATTAATTGCAGCATTATATTATTTTAACACAATAGTGTATATTTTGTCTTCTAAGCAAAGTTTGTCATTTTTGAGACTATTTTGAGATTATTTTATAGTGAATACTGAAATCAGTCAATTCAGCGAGTCAGTTGCTTTACAATCCAAATCCTCATGTAATCTACAGTTGGCTTAGTCGAAAAGAGGTGTTTAGATTTAGTTGGTAGTTTGGGTCTATAAGTGAGTATTTCTTTTTTATTTGTCTTGTGTTTTCCTTCCTTTGAACTTACTAACTCTATTCCTCAATTAGCTCACTACGTCGAGTAATTGGACAATATGTATCACCACACTATTCTCAGTCCTTCAGAATAGTGGAATGATACTACCACAGCTGATCCTGGTACTTTAGCATACAACAGCCGGATGGGGGGATAACAATACTACTGGATAGAACAGCTAATTACAAGAAATGGGTTTTATAGTCTGAGGATTTAGCGATTAGTTAATGTAGCAAGGGAGGCATTTATATATTTATTATTATGTAAGGGCCATGTATTATTTTAATAAAGCAAACTTCATCCTCTTCCTTAGGGCCTTTACAGCCTTTATTTATAAGAATATTTTATATACATTTTCTTAGTCTATATTACTATTATCTAAGACTATAATGATTATGACTATATTAGTAATCCCTTCATTACCAACTAAGTTACTTACTTCGCTCTTTTCATTGAAAAGAACTTTTTCTACATTTCGGTCCTTTCTGACGATTCTGATTTTTCTAGCCAAATTACCTATATTTGGTTAGCGTATCACATGACATGTGACTTAGCCAGATAACAATACTGACATTCAGTCAAAGCAAGAAATAACTTTTGCTGTAATTTTTTATTAGTGAAACATTACAATCTTAAAAAGTACTCTAAAATGTATAAGTAAGTTGCAAGTAAATCATACTCTATATTGTACATTGTACAAACTCTGTTCCTGGTATAGAAAAAAAAATACTATGAGGCACAATGCATAATTAACAATTCCAATGAAATCACAACTAAAACCTGATGCATATATAATATATGTAAAAGCTCGAATAATATAATGATAACACAGTATAGTAAATTTGGTAATAATTTTCATCACAAATGCATGCACACAAAAGTCACAAAGTATAAACATCCAATCACATGCCTAGAATTGCGAACTTCACTTAACTTGCCATAAAGCCATATACTCTGTATTTTATACTTCATTCCTGATAAATTATACATATAGACAATTTTTCTAATTTTCCAACCTTTGCAAGAGAATCAGCACTAAAGATACCAAATTCAGTTTTTATTGATTACATTAAAAAATCATATTTAGATAGAAAGGATATACTTGATCTCTTAGAAAAGTATATCAAGTAGAATTTAATAAAAGTATGATTTCATAACTGCTATATTATAGAAGTGCTGTCAAGAGAAAATGCATGTTCAATTTTGGATTATATTGTGTATCAGACATGACTTATCTAATTTATTAGGGTTGTTTCCAATACAAAATATAATTAAAAATCTGTAATACCTTATTTCCTGACAGCACTCATTTTCTGTAATTTGCAATATGTATAAAATGCAATATGCTATGTTTTTTATTAGATTGAAGACAAGTATTATAGGTATTGTA